GGTTTTCTAGAAAACCGGTTTCCAGAAACCACAGGCTTTTTACTAAATGTGTTTTTTTTATTCGCTCAGATTATAGAGCATATCGAACTGCTGATGAAACGGCAGTTTTTTTTTGCAAAAATGAACTCTAAAGAAAACAATATAAACTTTTGTATTTTGGTATTAAGTTGTTCTGGTGTGCACCTATTTTATAGATTTATTTGGCTGTATTTTCTGAAATATTCTGATTAAAATAGAAAGAGTTACTGTTTTATAGAAAATTCAATACGCTCTATAATCTGGGCGAATAAAAATCAACATATAGTAAAAAGTATGTGGGTTTTTGGAAACCGGTTTTCTAGAAAACCACCCTTTTAGGGCCTAAGGTCACTTCTGATGGTCATATTCAGAATCAGCATAGTCGATAACCCAGAACCCAGTAGAGTTTACCTAAAAAATCGATTTGGCAGTAGGGAAGGTTCCCTTGTAAGCCACACAGAAATTTAAACCCAAACGGTTAGGGTTTGATACATGTCTGATCAGGATACCAATACAAACAGCTACGTTTGATTAGAACGTTTGAGTTTATAGATTGAGGTTTACGCTATCTTCTTCAGCCTGCGAAGCTGAGAAGCCGTGGTTGAAGGATGTGAGTATGGGTGGGTGTGGGTGTGGGTGTGGGTGGGTAATGAGATAAAAGGCGCCGACGCCGCCAAGGATTAGAGAAAGTAAAGGGAATAAAAGGAGCTAAGCTAGTAAAGGGAGTAAAAGGATACATACTATTTATTATAAAACAAAGCCAAGGTACAACGGTACATGTTTAATTTCTAGCGGATCCCTCGTGCTCGAAGCTTAATAACTGCGGTTTTTTAGTAATTGTGGGGAATAGATCAGTTGCACAAATTAGCCCCAAAAGGGCTGTACGTATAAGCTTTTTTTATAAATATCACAGATATAGACATGCTATAAAATGCTTTAAAGAAGGTTACAAATCTTCAATAAATAAAGATTCGTTCCATTTATTTATGCCTCGTTAACCAAAGATTATATCAGTTGTATTCATCCATTTTAATTTCCTTATAGTCAAACTTAGGCTAGTTCTATCGATTCTGTAAAACATGTTCTCGAAAAGCTAGAAACCTACAGATTCCGTGAAAGTCAGGGAATCCAGCAAAATGTAGGAAACTCATTTAATCCATGAGATTTATGACTGCATCCATGATCCATTTACTGGAGTCATGCGGGGCAGTCTCGAATTTCTTTTTGATCGGTATGCTAGAATATGTCTTAGACTTCAGTTTTTTTTATTTCTTAGTAGAACTATTGGATGAAATGTTAGTTTATCCACCAATCATGTGAATACACGTATTTTAGCTTATTGATGTTACAGCGAAGATGTGTTGTTTTCTGTCACAGAGTGACATCTGTATATTTTTTGGTCAGTGAAGCAAACGAAATTTTATGGGACAATTCGAGAAACTTCGGGATCAGGACAATAAAAAAGTTTGTCCTGCAAGTCTCTATCATTTACATATTGCACTGCTAGATATCTATCTAAGTTTCACAATAATTTTTTGCCACGCTGAATTTGATGTCCGATATGGTTTATTACACTGGAATAGAAACCGGCAAAGAGTTCATTGTTGTTAACTACCGGACAAATTGATAGTTTCAGTAATTTTAAGAACTTGTGCATATTATCACCATACAAGAAACAGGCTGAATCATGTAAACATTAGATATGGATAATACATTAAGAAAAAACCGAGTTAAATGTAAAATCAGAAGCAAATAAACTCTCATTATCTTTTTCATTAAAACATAAGAATTATCTTAATCTGGAATTTGAGAAACAACCAACAAAAATACATTTCTGTCATGACATAAAGCGGTGCTGGTCAGGATATTCATTTTATCAAAAACAAATACAGAGATGATTTCAACGGCTGTCGATCAACTACATCGAAAAGTTCAGTGCGATATATGTGTGAGAGTGCTTCATAGAGGAATATCATATGCGTACTTGCATCTTTAGTGACATCTTCAGAATATGGAAATACGATAATATCACCCATAAGAATCTTCGAAATCATATAAAAAAGCAGTTTTGTTTAGTATTATTCTGAGTAGTATCAGAGATCTTTTATACAATAAATGCAACTTTGGTCATCCTCTAGCTTAATATCTGTAGGACCTATAGATCTGTTAAAATGTCATGGTTGAATGAACTGTATCCAATTTAACTATTCGTTATAACTATATTAGCAGAATTTCTATAGATCATGAATATTCTATGAATCTCATAAGCAATATGGGATTATATCATACACTTAATGAAAGTTCTTTCAATAGATTATATCAATACTACAACTCTGTTGAAAATCACACGCACAGCGTCTTCAGTTTACGTAACTGAAGTTAGCATTATATTCGAGTAAAACCTCCTAATATTTGTTCAGAGGGCTGCTTCAAGTGCAACTAGACGAGCTCCACCTAATGACATGCTCAGTTTTCACTTACCTCAAACTATAATTTTCGGACTCACAGATGGCGCCACAGAAAAGTCTTTAAAAAAACGTAATTTGATCTGTGTGAAATCTGAGCATACCATTATGTAGAGCTGATCAAATTGTACTTGGAATATCTTTCTAGATGAATATGGAAAGACTTTATTCGAATATGGTACTAACATTTCTTTCCTTATAATAATCGTTTTCATTGGAGACAAAGCAAAGTGCATATGTCTACTCTATCATTTAGCTAGACTACGTTGTTTTAATCAAGAGGTCCGTTTTTATTTTTATCAAAACTGTGTTGAGTAAAAAATAGTATTAGGCAATCTCTCAAATCCTACCGATAATCAGTAGTAGACATTCGCTTTTTCTTCACGTATAACAAGATAGAAAAAGAAGTAGCGCAAAATTTTGATACAACAATAAAAATTATCTGACCTGTAAAATCTTTATTTATGAATGAAAAGCATCGAAATAAAGCTATTTAAAATAAATAATGCAATAAAAAAAATATTTCAGTAAAAATAAAATAAGAATAGTATAATTTTGTTATTTATCGGAATTCAAAACACTAAAATATTGTTTCTTGATTTTTTACAAACATAAACTTAAAAGATTATAATCAAGATATTAATTTGTGCAATGCTCTTTTATTTTGTTCTAATAACTTCTCGACGTCAAAGCAGTTATTTTGAACAAAGAAAAAAATGTTACGTGTGTCGAATTATTTGAAGTGAATGTACTGGAATTGAATACAATACAAAACTTTTTATTGTGCCTCTCGATAAAAGATATATCTATATACGTTGAAAAAAAATCAATTGTACAAAAATAAAGACGACTACCAGATAAAATCATAACATGTTAGCGACCAACGTAGATAATAGAAGAAATATTATAATGGCATTCGTTTATGGTTGACATTTCTTTCTTTTGTCCTTTCTCCTATAGTCATACAGATGCTACGTACAAGAGAAATGAACGGATCAAAGATTTTCTAACTCGTATAAATCAATGAATCATCAAATAAATCAGAGAAAGTGTTTAGTAGTTTGTCATTCTTTTATTACGAGAAAAAAATAATCTCAAAAATAGTTTTATATAGATTTATAAAGATTTTCTCTTAATATTGTACTCGTATATAGTTACATTCTATATCTTGATAGGATCTAGGCTTGTCCCTGACTTTTAAAATGACAAAGGACATAATCGTCACGGTCATACGACTATATTCTTCTTCTATCTATTTCTTTTCTTCTGTCAAAACGATTTCCTTGAACTTTCATATATCATAGTTTACTCTACGTTATGAGTAGGGCAATTTGACTGACAAAAAAAAACATTTTGCTAATATCTATTTCAATCTACGCATAGACTGTAATCCATTGTATATAAATTGACAATAAAAATATAGAAAGAGATAAAAAAAAACGTATATTGTTTTGAATTATGATACATAATTATAACAAAGCATCAATAATCGAAAGAAAAGGAGCGGTGAATATTTGATTGAAATAAAAAGATGATTTGAACTATAACATTCATTCTTTTATCTTGTTGTAAATCGTTTGTTGTATATACTTTCTATTATTCAATGATTACTCTCGAGACATATTTTTCTATATTTAATTCATTATTCTATGAGATATATTTTGTTTGTATTACACAATATTACTTCATTTATAGAGTTTTTCTTTCATAATTAAATAAATAATATCTTCTTTTTCCCCTATAATACTTATTCAATCTAATGATTATTCTTGTTACGAATAGATTCTTTTGTTACATTTACTCTATTTCTTATTAATAATGAACATTATTAAACACCTGAGAATTGATTGTACATTGTTACTTAATATTACATCATGCATTCTCTCTTCTATCTAGAAAATACTCAATGGACAAATGTTGTGTGAATGGCATGCTGATTGTGTTGACTCATATATATGAAATATCGAACGTCGGTCAATGTTAATGCACACATGGTGACCAGTGTCCGCCATTCGTTTGCATAATAAAATTGAATGGATTTATGCACGGCATTGTATTGATTGCTAATCAGCAATAAGTGCACCATACACTAGCGGATTGACTTGTTGTCTGTCTGTCAATTTTGCGTTCAGTAGGAAATTGATTCTCTTTCTCGCTTTAAGCGTAATAGAAAGAAATAACATAGTTTTCAAATATAAAATAAAAAAAAGAGACGCCGCTGTATTTAGTTGATAAATGAGGAAAGAAATAGAATTTCATTTCTTTTGCCTAGAGGAATTATTGTTCATTTCTTCTTTTTTTTAATACAAGAGAAAGAGAAATACTATTACTCTTCAACGGATCGTCGTTCTCTCTTTCATTAACCAACAAGAGCGAAGAGATAGATAGAGAGAGAAGAAAAAAGAGATAGAGAACAAGAAAAAGAACCGAATAGTTTCTCTCTCTCGCGTTCTTTTTATATATCAATAGTACAAAATACGCAAGCATAGAATATTATTGATTTGTCATCTTTCAACTATGAAATTAACTGAATCTTTCTATTATGAAGAAACTCGAGGTTTATGTGGTCGTAAAGTATTACGTGAAATAGGTGAACAAGGTCAAACAAAAATTCATTTATATGCATACGAAAGTTGGCCAAAACCAGCATTAACCTCATGTTGGACAATTAAAACTGTTTGGTGGTCAAAAACAAAATGTCACATTATTGAACAACAAGGTCATCGAACTAGTATTACAAAGTAAATCTATTATTGTTTTTTTTCCTTGCACATAATCGTATTACATGATCAAAAGAATCCTACTAGAAGAATCTATATATCATCTTAGAATAAAAGTATGTTGTGCGGAAAAATTCTCAATGCATACTGTGTTAGATGTAAATAACAAAAGTAGATTAATACGTTCCGCATCTGTAATAAATGCAGACGAATCAATGTGATAATACAATAAATCTTCCTATTCATCGATAATTTTCATATCATAAAAAGTTCCATTATTCTCAATGTAACTTGAAAGAGATTGAGTGAAACCAGTTTATTTATCTCATAAATATATGTATGTGTATACATTATAACAAGTAGCTGATCCAGATAGAATTTTTATTTAGCGAGAAAAAAAAAAGATTGCAAAATGGTCAGCCATTGAATAAATTTTTTTGTTAGTATCATCGTCAAATAATCAAATTAAAAATGCGCATAAGGACATTTTCTGGTTGATAGGCTAATTCAATTCGTCTCGCCGAATGTAAATTCTTATGAGTGCCAAGAAAAGAAAAGGAAATGGGAGTGATGGTCAACTTTTATCTTTCAATAGCCGAATCATTAATGAAGATGTAATAGACGGACGAACAACCGAAAGAAACATTAACATACTGCGATCGAGTACTTTTAATGAGTCTTATACCATGAAGAAGAAAAAAAAGAAGTCGAGACAGATCAGATCAAAATAGACTATGCGGGAGCGTAATAAGAATGACCAACGTTATGAACTCAACACTATATTTCAAATTACAGGATATCTCAACTTATTAAAAGGACGTCTTTGCCTAAAATAGTATATAATGAATTGAGCTTAATTTCAATTAGTATTATATATAAATATGTTTTTTTTCTAGAGGTCATATGAAATGTTTGGGTAATGGTCGTTTGGAGATAACTGGACAATTTCAACGACATACCGATGCAGTCTTTCGTTTGGTTCTATCATCACAAATAACTGCTGATGATGTATCAGATGGTTATATACTATCAGGTGATCTTGAACTTGGTGATACAAATGATTCAATGCAACAAAGTCATTTTGCTGTAGTTAAACTTGAACAACAACAACAACAACAAAATCATTCTATTAATACAATGAATAATTATTTTATAAAAGCACGAAGTATATTATTATTCGGTTGTGTATAATTAAAAATGATAAATTCTATTGACAGTGACCGTGTACAGTATTTGTACTAGTCAGAATTTTATCTTTATTAATGAATGTTGTATTTAAAAAAAAATTACTCACATGTGCTTTTTTCTTTTCTTGAGAGAAAAAATAATAAATGTGTTTTTATGTTCATTTTTGTTCAACATAATTTAATAACAAACGAAATTATAGGTCTAGATTCGTTATGTCTATTTAAGGGTCAAAAAAACTTCATATATAGAATAGCAACAATTGTCTGCCGAAGAGATTCATGTTAATGATTGTTACTTGCACAAATAACTATCGAAAAGTTTGATGCTGAAGATTACTTCTTTGGAATCTTTATTTCGAATATTCGCTGCTTTAATTATCATCACTAATCAATATACGGACAGCATACACTTCTATTTATGAGTATTTCGTTGTAGTTTATATTTTTTCCCATGCGTAAATATATGTATCTTTTACTAAATTTGTTTTTTTCATGATAGATGTCGCCTAATACTGGAACGATATATAACATTGAGAAATATTGATAAAATAATAATAATAGATGTTTACTTGTGATATTTTAATTTCGAATATATTTCAATTTTTTAATAAAATAAAATAAAGAATTTCGTTATAAAATTTCATTGGGTAAATAGAACAATGTGTCATTCTCGTCAGCGATTATTATTATTATATTATTTATCAAAAAAGAGATTTTCTTTCTTTTCTTTTCAAAAAAAAAAGAAGCTTGAATTTCAAATTTAGTATTACGATTTTGAAATGGGTCTTGGTGGTAGTAGTTTAAGTGTTCCAGGTGGTGGTACAGAAGGTTTTCATGTTCTTCGTGTTCAAGAAGGATCACCAGGACATAAAGCTGGCTTAGAGCCTTATTTTGATTTTATTGTTAGTATTAATGGTATTCGACTTAATACAGATGATGAAAAATTTAAAGAAACCTTAAAAGCAAATATTAATAAACCAGTTGAATTACAGGTTTATAATAGTAAAACACAAGCAGTACGACAATTACCTTTAGTTCCACATGAAAATTGGGGTGGCCAAGTAAAAATAATAAGATTACATTTCTATTTTTATTGACATTTAAAATATTTTTATATAGGGTTTACTTGGTTTAAGTATTCGTTTTTCATCATTTGATAAGGCAAATGAAAATGTATGGCATATAGTTGATGTTCAACCTCATTCACCAGCTGCATTAGCAGGTTTACGTTCCGATACTGATTATATTATTGGAGCTGATACTTTATTAAATGATTCAGAAGATTTCTATGCATTAATCGAATCAAATCAAGGCAAACCATTAAAACTTTATGTTTATAATAGTGATAATGATTCAACACGTGAAATAAATCTTACACCAAATATTGGATGGGGCGGTGAAGGTAGTTTAGGTTGTGGAATTGGTTATGGTTATTTACATCGAATACCATTTCGAACAACGAATTCACCACCAGTAACAAAACCTAATCAATTGATGACGAATGGTGATAAAGCTCCATTACTTTCTTCAATACCACCACCAAATATGAATGGAGGTGCACATATGAGTTTTACACTTCAACCGGTTAATATGCCACCAATAACTGTAACAATGCCAAGTTTACTTGTTCCACCGCAGGTTAATACTAATAATACAACGACTGCCGCAACAAATGAAATAACAACAACTACAAATGCTACAATACAACCAATGGTATCAAATGATTCCAATCAATATTCTAAGTATGAATATAAAACTTACAAAAATATTTTCATAAAGTTAATTCTATGATTTTGATTAAGCGAAAAGTAGTATTGTAAATTACAAGGCTGAATGAAATATTTATATGAGACTTCTTCTATAGCTTGAGGGAAAAACTTTTCTTCCTTTCTTTCTTTTACTATTGTTTGTCATTCATAAAGAAGTGCATCATGCATACTTATAAATAATGATTATCTTTTCTTCTCGAAGACAATGCTTCGATAATTTAGTAGTGAAACAATTCCCTCGGTACAAATGTACATACCATATGAAATCTTGTTAATAGTTTTATCTGTGATAAAGTAAAGAAAAATAGTTTGCTGATTTCGTGCTAGTGTAACTAGTATTTTTTTGGAGTAAGTGATTATCCATTATGGAAGAATTACTATAAAATACTTTTTATTCGTAAAAGCTTTTATAGGAATTAGCAGTTTCTATTATTTAATTGTTGAATTATTCCATAATACTTAATCTATAGACGTTTGATTATAATCAGTTTTCAGTAAAACTACAAAAAGTGCAATAACTTTCTTCATTGACCACTAATCCTTTTTAAACATTTACGATTATTGTGATGATTGAAAGTAGAATACGGACAGAATCAGAAATGTAATTTTAAAAATCAGCTTGTCTAATTATTCGATCTACACATTGATGAATACTTTATAATAGTGATTCTTTTCGTGTAGATACATAAAAGATGTTTCGAAAATCTGAGAACCCTATCACTTTTAGTCTTAGTTATATTAAATTGTTCGCGATACTAAGACCGTCATATTCTTAATAAGTTCGAATATTTTAATAAACACGAATAGAATAATTCTAATCATATGAATCTCTGCCTGCATGTAATGAGATGTATTTTATTTTTTGTCCTCAAAAAGTCATGTACTTCTTTTATGTCATTTGATATTTATGTTAACACATATTTTTGTTTTTATCTCTATTGAAGATATTTTGGCGAGACAACGTTTAATCCATCATCAAACATTACACCAACTACTGTGCCTTCAAATTCTTCAATTTCGTTACCAAATTATAGCAATATTCAACCTTCATATATTCCTTTTCCTGCTCCTCAACAACAACAACAACAATCAACGAATGTAATCTCTACCGACCAATCATCATCATCATCATCCACAATTCAAGCTCCATTCAATTTCAATGCACCGAATCCACAACAACATTATTTTCAACCTATTCTTCCTTCTCCATTTACTAACTCTCAACACGTACACTCACAAGTGCAAGCACCAATACAATTTAATCCAAATGCATTAAATACTTTTCCACCATCACAATACAATCCTAATGCATTAAATACTTTTCCTGCACCACAATACAATCCTAATAATCATGGACATTCACATGATTTTGATACTAGTGGACATGGTCACAGTCATGATCATGGTCATAATCATAGTCATTAGTTAATTTTTTTCTGTTATCTGTTTTCTCTTATTCATACAGGTTTAATTTGATTTATTATATTTTATTCTCTAGTTTGAAGTGACGTTTATATAACAGTCAAAAATATTCTTTCTTTGTTTTCTTTTTTTTATCTTGAGTGATCTTGTTAGTCCTTACATATATACATATTTTGTTTCTTTTAAGATATAAATTTTCAATGAAGTAATTCATTGAAAAAAACATCGTTTTATGTTTTGCCCCTTGGCATTCCCTTTACTTATCCATGTCCCAAAATAATAGATCCAAGAGAAAAAGAAGTACATCAATTTTTCCAATGGTTGACAATCCAAATCGATTAAATTTAATTTGTTTACGTAAAATTTCATCGTTATTAAAATCTGATCAATTATTATGGAAAAAATATATTGAAGAACGAGTTGTTAAAATTTATTGTGAAGAAAATAATCAATCAATATTAAATCTAAATGATCAACAAAAACGTAAACATCGTCGTGGTGAATCATTTCGAATAGATGATGATGATGATGATAATGAATCAAATATGGAAACAATACATTGTTTACATCATAATCAAAATTTTTTTATTGAATATTTTCTTCATGGTTATTGTCCATTAAATTCAATATTATCGGAACAACTTGCTAATTATTTAGTAGCACATGATCAATTGAATGATTTTACTTTAACACTTTTTTCATCCAACGTAACATGTTTAAAACGATTAGTAATTAATATAAAATATTTAAGTCGATTACAATGTCATATACTTAATCAACATCCAAATTTAATTGAATTAGAACTTATTTTTAAGGATTCAAATTTAAATCGAACAAATAATATGACAAATGAAATATTTTATCAACATATATGTCCTTCGATATATTCAGAATTCGATGAAATTTTTACTATATATAGTCCATTTATATTAAATTATATAAATTTAAAATTACAAAATGAATCAAGACGATCATCTGTATCTAGTAAAACTAATTTATTACAAAATTTACCAAATTCATCAGATGAATTTTTACATCATAAATTATTAAGTGAAATTTTTAGTAATTTACATCCAACAACAATTGAAAGATTGAAAATCTTAAGTCTTTCGCATTATAAATTTTTTGCTGCTTCTCAATCAACTGCTGCAAGAAAATATTCACTTGCTGATATGTCACCATTAACAAAATGGTAAGACAAACAATTATCTATTTTTCTGACTGAAGACGTATATGTGGAGATCAAATTTTCAGAATAATATTAGTAATCTAATATGTCAGTGAAAGAAGGAGATAAATGAAAAATTTAAGTTTATTGTTTTTCTTGCTAAAGGAACATATTTGGGTGGCGGAACGTTTGCCAATGGTGAAAGCCCGAAAATGTATTGACAAAAGTACAATGACCTTTCGCCAATTGGCAAAATTCTGGAACCCTACATATTTACATTTTTTTGCTCAGTTAATGATTAAACTAACGTTACGGTACAAATCGATGTATTTTGAAACCCAAATATATAGTTCGAGATAAGAGTTCATATAAACTTTCTATATTACCAAGAACCTCTTCAGTTAATGAAAAGCTTTCTAAACCAGATTTCTATTATTAAATGAAATCTAATAAGATTAAGATCATGTTAACAACTTTCATTCTCCATAAAGTACTAAAAACAAGGGGGAAATAGCAGATGGGAGTTCCCTGGAGTAATTTTTGAAGTCTTTCTAATTCCTGGACTCCAGAGTTCTGGAGTCGGAGTTGGTGCCAAAAAAAATTGAATCCGTCGGTCCCTACTTTAGGGTCCTTTGGAGTCTTGGATTTCAGAGTCCCGTAAAGTCCTTGGAGTCCTGTGGTCCCGTAGAGTCCATGGAGTCTTGCAATCTACCGTTTTCCCCTTGGCTAAAAATATTACTTTTTCATAATGATGAATATATATAAAATATTCATACCTTATAGAAAAATATTGAAAAACGAACTTGATCGTATATTTGCATAGATGACAAAGAGATACTCGTTTACGATGAAAGTTCTACATAGCGAGAATTTTCAGTATATAATCTCCTCATACTAATCTATAATTTTATTTAGTACGACAACTTCATCTTCAACAATGACAACACCTGCAATAAATTCAATTCCAATGAATCTTCGTTTATTATTAAAATTTACTAATTTAACATCATTAAATTTAAGTGGAACAGATATTAAGAATCCATGTTTTGATATAATTATAAATTCATTAGAAAATCTAGATACATTTGATTTATCATCATGTCGTTCAATAAAATTCTTCCATTCATTATTAAAATTATCATTAAAATTAAAATGGCTCAATTTATATAATTGTTGTTTTAATATGCAACTGAATCCAACTATTTATCATATATTATATCAATTAAAATATCTTGAATATTTAGATATAAGTAATGATAGTACAATAAATGATAATGACAATAATAATAATAATAATAATCCTGTAATTGATAATGAAAATGATATAAATAAATTTTTATGTCAAATTAATTGTTTACCACGTTTAAAACATTTCGATGTAAGTGGACAAAAAACAATATCATCAATAGCATTACATAAATTTTTATTAAATCATTTAAATTTACAATTTCTTGGATTATTTTTAACAAATGAAAAATATTCTTCATGTATATTTGATTTAAATGATCGATGTTATTCAAAATATCGTCATTATACATATGATTATCATCATATATCAACAGTAACATTAACAGAAAATGATTTAATAGTATATGAACCTTATCTTATTGAAGCATTAAAACGTTATCGTGATCGTATTGGTTTTATACAAAAAATTCTTTATAATATTTTTTTTCTTACACGTTCATTTCATTCAAAACAACAAAATCTTCTTATTGAACTTACACTTCATATTATGTCAATACATCCAAATATACAATCAGTACAAATGGCATCAACAGCATGTATATATAATTTAACACGTTCACCTATAACAGATCAAATACATGTAAAATATTTGGCACAAATTGTTCAAGCAATAATGAATGTTATGGAAACATTTCCAAATCATCAACAAGTATTAGATTTTATTTCTATTTCTCTTCATAATAATTTTCATTATAGTTACAAAAAAATTGTCTATTAACATTATGCAGTGATAGAATTTTACATGAACCACATTTTAAATTTTATTTATTAGCAACATTAGTTATGCATAATTTACAGAACAATACTGATTTAGCTACTATACAACCTGGTGTCGCTATTTTATCATTATTAACAACAAGAGTAAGTAAAAATTGTATCATGAGGATCGCGAAAAGTAGTAATTGCATGATCGGAGATAGACAGGAGCCAAACCCAAACTCGAATTCAAACCGTTTGGGAGTTTGAGTTTGGGTATTGGGTTTGTGTTTGGGTATTGAGTTTGGGTTTAGGTCTTCTTTTAATTGCCATCAATGTATCGAAAATAGTGTCTTCTACAGATTAGAAAAGCACAAACCCACTCAAACCCAAATTATTTGGGGCTTTGGGTACTAAACCCAAACCTACACTCAAACTCATATACCCAAATCCAAATTCACCAAACTCAAACAGTTTGGGTCATGTCTAATCGAAAATAATAAGTTGAGATGCAATCATCAAGACAAGTTTTTCTTTTTGATAAACAGTTGTCAATGATCAATAATAAATCTTTCTCTGAAGAAGATTTAATTCTATTTAAAAACTGAAATGTATTTATTTTTAGTTAACTATTGACGAATGTACTCGATTAGGTTCTGTAAAGAATTTAAAATGTTTATTTCAATTAATTGAACAACAAATTGATCGTTTACAAACAATGTTAATAACTCAAAATCAACAACTTGTTCTACCACATAATGATCAAACAATAAATGATATTGATATTGTATTACATAATCCTCACCAATTAACGAGTGATGATACATTACGTTTTTGTTTAAGTTTATTATGGAATTTAACTGATGAGAATGCAATTGTTTGTGAACATTTTATACAATCATTAGGTTTAGAATTATTTCAACGTTTACTTCATTTATTTTCATCGGATACGATTGTATTAACAAAAATTGTTGGATTATTAAGTAATATAGCTGAAGTATCACATCTTAAAGTATATCTTTATCCAGTTGATATCATTTTATTAATGAAAAAATATATTGACGAAGCTATACTTGATATTGCATTTTCAGCAACTGGTATTCTTGCACAATTACTTTATGATCAAACAGATGATGAAATTAATTTTGAACTATGTGACCAAATGAGAGATGCAATTATAAAATGGCAAAATCCACATTCAAATATGGTTACATATAGGTGATTATTTATATATCTTTATTGACATAGAAAATAATAATATGTTTCACATTACTTTTATCTGAATGCAGAACAAGCTTAGAGAAATCATGTGTAAAACACATTTGTTTTTTATGCAGAAATATTGTGCAACAATTTTCTATAGTATACATTTGAAAACTAGTCCAGTATTTTATCTAGCTTTCGTTTTCCGGATAGGCGAATTGAAATTTAGGGTGAGCGGCGTTCATCCGGATCATTTCAAAATACACAGCTACTGTATTTTTTTCACGTGGGCGGTGCCCATCCGCTAGATAAAACACTAGAAACTATTTTAAATAGTATTACTTCCCAGTAATATACTTGTCATTTTTATTTAGATCTTTCAAGCCATTTTTACCATTACTTTATTGTACTCGAATACCAGTTGTACAATTATGGGCAATATGGGCTATTCATCATGTTTGTAGTACTGATCGTAAGTATATAAATTTTAGAAGATACAGAAAAACAAATGGCTTTTATTTATTTACTAGGTATCCGATACGTTCGAATAGTTCGTGAAGAAAAGATCTATGATATTATACAGGCTATCTATAATGAACAAATATTATTCGATCATCCGGATCTATTTATGATTCAATTACTCAAATCAATACTTCATATTTTTAAATCATATCATTTAAATCGTCATCAAAATTCTTCTGCTGTTGCTAGTTGATATAAAGTATCTTTTGTTATTTTTTTCCTATTAAATTAAAAATATGTAAAAAAAAAA